TAAACCAACTTAAACACTACAAATCCTATAAATTTAAGCGAAGCTATGACAAAACATGAATTGTGGTTATTATGAATCACGTAAATTGTAATAAAAAGGTGAGAAATTCAATAAAGAAAAATGTCAGGTTTTAAGGTTATCGCATAGAATCATGAATTACGAGAAATCATATCATTCAACATGGAATTGATTTAAAAACTGTCTTGAACTCAAATCACTAATGTATAATTAGCCTATTCTCGCAACACTAATTACTATGAACCAAAAGAAAATGATGTGAAGAAAACGGCAACCACGGTAGCTTTATCTTAACTTTGTGAGTTTTATTAAACCGTTTTACAAGCTACTAACAACATTTTAATTCCAGGAAATACAATTATCTCCATAAGTGGAGAATTTTATTGATGTTTATTATGCATGTCCAAACGATTGTAGAAAGGTCTTCATTTTATATAGTGGTGTCACAGTTCATCTTCTTAGTAATGCAGTTCCTGAAACAGAGGATCTATGCTTTGTCCCCAATCTCCATTGTACAACTCCAAGAGCTTCTCTGCAGGCGTAACCCCTGTTTTTTCAAGAAAATTATAACCCTAGTAGACACTAATTATCCTACCAAAGCTTTCTGGTAACCTCGAAACAAAACATTACCTGTTCTAACCACCTCGGCAAGAGGTTCCAAGAAACCGGTTTCCCTGTACCCTCTACGCTCCAAACCATCCTGAGCCATAACAAGAAAAACTTCAATATTTATATAGACATTACAATGAGAAGGCAGGAACCATATACCGTTGCAAGTTTTATGAAAATCTCTGCGACATCTTTCAAAGGACGATCTCTAAACATTGTTTTTAGGCCAGTGATTGGAACCTGTAGAAAACCAATAACAATTGGTTGAAACCATAGAACACTTCCTTAAAATGAAAAAATAATAAAAATAATAGCTATCTTCCGAGATTACTTGTGTCCTAAGCATCTCTCTTTCTTCAGTAGTCCAATCAGATATCATATCAAGAATAGTTTGGAGAGACTCCTCGTCGTATAGCAAACCAACCTGAGACTCAAATACATTCGAAATAAATATTTGAAACTATGAGTGTTTGTATGTTTATAAAAGATAATGAAATTACCCAGAAAGCTGGTAGGGCACACAACATTTTCAAAGGACCTCCATCAGCACCTCTCATCTCCATGCATCTCTTTAGCCGGACCTTATAGTGTTATTACAGAACATAATCATAAGACAAATTAATCTAAACCATAGTACGAAACATGGGAATTGAAAATGATATGGTGTTGTTGAATATATAAGAGTAATCAACCTCTGGCCATATTGTCCCTATATGGACTTCCCAGTCGCTAATTGTTGGTTGTTCATTAGAGAGGTGAGAAAATTTCCCAGACAAGAAATCCTACAAATTCAAGTAATATGTTGGGATCAAAAGAAGATTTCAAATGTTTATCCTTTATAAAATTTCTTATGAAAAAAAGAAGTAGACCCGAAATGTCATTCCTCTACAGTTGATATGTCTTTTGTTCCGGTATAAGAAACACATTGGAATATCAAGTGCGTATTCGACATACCGCTCAAACCTATATCAACACATTGAAGATTAACCAAGTGTTTGGTAAAATCATCACAATTTTTTTTCTTTTTCTGATAAAAGTTTAAGATCACAAAGTTAGACAAACTTTGATACTCACCCGAATGAGTCATCGAACACAAAAGGTATCATTCCTGTGCGATTCTTATCGCTATCTATCCATAAATGGCTGTCAAAACATTGTCAATAGATATGAAACTAATACTAAAAAGGAATGCACGCAAGAAAGAGGAAAGACACAAAAAAGTAACATAGAAACCAACCTCCTCATGCTTAGAAACCCATTTGGTTTTCCATGACTAAAAGGGGAATTTGCGAACAGAGCAGTTGAAATCTATTTGATTAAACATATAAGAAAAGAGGAAAAAATATGTTTTTTTTTTCTTTTTTAGTTCAAGAAACCATTAACATTGAAAGAGCATCGAGCTTCTCACGGGTTGCAACGCTAGACTAGCGCGAAACTTCCTTATCATATCGGTTTCTGAACTATAGTCTAGATTGACCTGAACAGTACACGTTCTAGAACTCATGTCAGGTCCTGATGGGCCAACTCTCGCTAAGTGATCTATCAGAAACTCAAACCTTTTCTGCACATAGAAATCACTTTCACACATCAGACAAAGAGCCAGGAAGCCACGTTTAGTATGTCAGAACTAATATGTTTGTGGAGAAAGGAACCTTGGGCACAATGGTTGCATCCTCAAGACTATATTTGGGCTCATAGCCAATTCCTAGGAAACCGATTCCCAATTCTTTAGCAACAGTCTTCACCTGGTAAAGATGTGAATGAAGCTCCTCACAAGTTTGGTGCAAAGTCTCTACAGGTGCTCCACTTAGCTCTAATTGGCCTCCTGATTCCAAAGATATGTTTTGCATTCCCTGAATATAATAATCAATGCCAAAATAAAATAAAAAGAAATTATGATATCATTGTTGGGTAATTAAATAGAAGAGAACAGAACAGTTACCTGTTGCAAACCAATTATTCTTCCATCCTCCATCACCTTATCCCAATCAAATCTCTCAGAAATACCATTAAGCAGTGCAGTTATCTGTTCATACTTCATAGGGCGCAAAGTATTGACCTCGAAACCGATTTTCTCGTGTTCTGTACCTATTCTAAATCCCCAATCCAAGAAATAAAACAATAACTTTGCGCAAATAACTAGTTTTATAGGGCAAGTTATGAGATGAGATGATGATCATAGTGGTACCTCCACATTTCCTTTGGTTTGCATCCCGAGGCAAAATAGGTAATGAGATCTTCTTTAGTCAGTGGCTCGGTCGCGACAACAGCAGAAGCGCTTGCGGTAGCCTTAATCCCTTGGTTGCTTGCAACTATCTTGTTTCTTTTACAAGTAAGAGATTTCTTGGTTGAGAAGCTAACATAAGTTTTCAAAGCATCCAAGTTTATCACAGCACCAAGCCCACAAAATGAGAGTAAGAGCACCATGGTTTATTTCCTGCAGCAATTGGTTTTTTTTTAATATATTTATCACACATCATTTCAAATGAATTAAGTCACTACAACAAGTTACAATTTGAGATTGATGAGATATAGGGTTGAAAGAATTGTATTACTGTTATAATGAATAAAGGTACCATATACATACACATATATAGAAAAAATATTTAGCCTACTTTGCTAACTAATGCAACCACACAAATTACCATTTTAGAGAGATTATTTTGCTGACTATATTTCTAGACTAGAAATTCTAGTCGCAAAGTTTGCAATACTGTTTCTTTAATAAACATTGGAAGTTTAATTTGAAGATTGTGAGATAATTTTAATGTGAATTTTGGAAATAAATCTTTCAACTGTACCAAACAGAAAAATATCCTGCAGCAACAAATCACAGAAAAAACCTAAATAAAGAAGAATCACCTGAAGTTGTCTAAGTTGGCTGAAAAGAAGGGGAGCTAGTGCACGAAAGGCTTGCAGAGTTAGTAGAAGTAATCATACATATATATAATAAGACTCATTACTCATTAATTCGATGTATAATTGAGTTGAATGAATGTAGACACTTTACACACATGTGGTACTAATCACCATAGTTACTTTGTCAGTTTTTCACATAATTTTGCTATCTGATGATTTTTTGCCGAAACCACGTGAATTAAGACGAAACTATTATTTTCACTTAAATCAAAAAACAAAACAAAAACTATTATTTTCACTGTTTAATACTGACAAAGTGTGATTCGACACGGGGGAAAAATTATTTTTTAAAAATGTTAATTAAGAAGTACCCAATAGGATGGGCACAGAGCAATAGGGTGGGCACAGAGCGCATATTTGGTGGTGGGCCGTTCCGCTAAGAATGGATGAGGACTTGTCTGGTTCGTATCCGTTCCAGAACAAACCGGATATCAGAGCAGAAATCCGGATTTTTACAGTAACAATTTAAAAATAATTATCAAAATTAAAAAAGTAATAAAAAGGTTCAAATTTAACAAAAAAAAAACAGTTTTTCATTAAGAATAGATTTTCTTTTTAATTTGTAAATCTTTAGAGTTGAAATAATTATTTGATGAATAGAAGTTCATAAAATT